GAGGAAGGTGGAGCAGGGGGCGCCGCCGCCGCCGCCGCAGGCCTGCCCAGGCACCGCGGGAGAGACCCCCTCAGGTAGCTCCCCACCTGGAGACCCGGTGCTTTCTCTCTCTGGGGGAGCAGCCGTCCCTCCCCCCCGGGGACCCAGAGTTCAGAGCTGCCCTGATCCTCATCCCTGTTTCTCCTGCCTGACGCCTTTTCGTTCTAAGCGCAAATTGCCGGTTTGAAGGCTTATGCTTGTTGGAAACCTGATTATTATCTCCTAGGAGGGAAGCGTCTTCCCGAGCACCCTCGGGCGGATGACCCCACGCTTCTGAGAAGGCTTGTGAAAAAGCCCGAGCGTCAGCAGGTAGGATGTGGGAGGCCAGAGGGAGGCGAGGCGCTCGGCTCAGAGTGGGGCCCTTCCTTTGCGGTATCGCCCTGTGGGTTTTAAGCAGTGGGCCATTGGTCCTGTTCTCCTGTTTCGCCAAGGTTCCTACACGGAAGGATTATGGGTCCAAAGTCAGTCTTTTCTCTCACCTACCCCAGTACAGCAGACAGAATCCTCTGACTCGAATGATGAGGTAGGGTCCTGCGACATTGTCTTGGCTTCTCAGTTTAAAGGTTTTAGTAACTGAGTGTCAAAAGGGGCTGAGGTGAGACTTGGGGGAAGAAGCATGAACTCAAGGCAGAGCTCTGAGGACACGGGAGGTCTGTGCTGGCAAAGGAGCTTCTTGTTCAGCAGGGCAGGTGGGCAGCAGGTGCTCGAATGTCTTGCAAAGTGTGTGTCTGATGTCCTGGCAGCATCCCGTCTTCTGTGATTCACCCAGCTGTGGTGCGCCTCGGTCTGCAGGACTCCCAAGGCCTGGTCAGTGGCTCCAATGCCCGGTGCATTGCCCTGCTTCGTGCCCTGCAGCAGGTATGGCCAGTCCTCTTCTGCACCCCTCTTTCTCCGGTGCTCCCTCAGCTTCTCAGGTTATCTCTAGGGAACAGAGGGGGTGGCTCCCACCCTTGGGACACTCCTCAGTGGTTGTGCCCCAGTTCCTTTCAGAGGCTCAAATGGGAGTGTCTTGCCACTCAGCTTGTGTATTCTGCAGGTTATCCAGGACTACACAACGCCCCCCAGCGAAGATCTCTCTCGGGATCTGGTGAATAAGCTAAAACCCTATATCAGGTAGGGACAGCTATTGCACGTCCCTCCCGCCTCCGCTGATCCTTTTCTCGGGCTCTTTTTCGTGTTCTGCCTTTGTCATCACTTTTCTGTCCTGTTTTCTTAAGAGCTTTTTTAGATGTGAAAGTTTTGTAAGTTGTAAAACCGCAAAGGTGTGTTGTTGTCGTAGCTTCCTGACTCAGTGCCGCCCCTTGTCAGCGAGTATGCACAATGCCATCAAGTTCCTGAACAAGGAAATAACTGGCGTGAGCCGTGCCAAACGGGAAGAGGAGGTGATGAGTGTGACAAACGAGAAAGGCGTAACCTGCGGGTAGAGTTGAGAAGCACATTCAGAACCCCGGCAAGGCTGTTTTCACCCTCGTCAAGGGTTGAGGAGTGGTGGGCTTCTGCCTTGTGCTGTCTTTGGGCTCCCTTGGGCTTGTTGTCACGTGCGTGTGCAAGTTTCTGGTGTGATAATCAGGAAGTATGTCCTTTTCTTACTCACTAAGCATTCTTCTCTGCTTAGGCCAAGTCGGAACTTGGAGCAGCCATTGATCGCTTCGTGCAGGAGAAGATTGTTCTTGCAGCCCAGGCGATTTCACGCTTTGCCTACAAGAAGATCAGTGATGGGGATGTGATTCTGGTGTACGGATGGTATGTGGGGCTCAGCCTGAGAAGCCCGGGGGCGGGGTGGCCTGAGGAGGGGCCGCTCCCTTGCCTTTGGGATCAGCCGTTCGTCAGTTGGTGCCATTCCTCATGGGGCTCTGCGTTCACCGCAGCTCATCGCTGGTGTCACGGATTCTTCGGGAGGCTTGGACGGAGGGCCGGCGCTTTCGGGCGGTCGTGGTGGACAGCCGGCCGCGGCTTGAAGGGAGGCACACGTTGCGTTCTCTGGTTCGCGCTGGGGTCCCTGCCTCCTACCTGCTGATTCCCGCAGCCTCCTATGTGCTCCCAGAGGTGAGCGCTCAGGAAAGGGGCTCCGAGGCTGGAGGTAAAAGGGGCGGCAGTGGAGTCACTCACCGGCCCGTGGTTGCAGTTACCTAGAGACGCTAAGAGTTACACGGCCCTGTTCGTGTTTAGCGGGAACACCTGCAGTTGGTTGTAGCACAGTCTGGCTGTCCCAAGAACCTCATGCTAAATTGGTGGCTGCCAGGAGGAGGGAGGACTAGAGGAACTGCACAGTCTAGTTTTCCTGTGGGTGATCCCGTGGGTCATTGCTCAGGTGTTCTCCAGGAAGCACAGCCATCGTTAGGACTTATTACTTGTCTTTTTTTTTAAGAGATAGGGACTTGCTCTGTCACACAGACCAGAGTGCAGTAACTTCAGCCTCAAACTCTCAGGCTCAAGTGGTCCTTCCTTAGCCTCCCAAGTAGCTGAGACTACAGGTATGCACCTCCACACCCAGCTAATTTTAAAAATCTTTAGCTAGGCGTGGTGGCTCATGCCTGTAATCTCAGCACTTTGGGAGGCAGAGGCTAGAGGATTGCCTGAGTCCACAGGTTCGAGACCAGTCTGGACAACTTGTCGAGATCTCGTCTCTACAGTAAATCAAAAAATTAGCTGGGTGTGGTGGCGCATATCTGTAATTTTGCTACTTGGAAGGCTGAGGTGGAAGGGTCGCCTGAGCCCAGCAGGTCGAGGCTGTGGTGTCCATGAGCATGCCACGGCATTCCAGCCTGGGCAACAGAGTGAGACTTCAGCTCAAAAAAAAAATTTTTTACATGAAGCCTTCCAATTTGTCATCTGGCGTATCTTTTCATTCATTTAGGTCTTCCTTTATTTCTTTTTTTTTTCTTTTTTTGAGTTGGAGTCTCACTCTGTAGCTCAGACTAGAGTACAGTGGCACGCTCCCAGCCACTGCAGCCTCGACCTGCTGGGCTCCAGCAATCCTTCCACCTCAGCCTTCCAAGTAGCCAGAACTACAGGCGTGCACTACCACTCCTGGCTAAAAAAATTTTTTTTTTGTGGAGATGGGATCTCAGTGTATTGCCCATGCTGTTCTTGAACTCCTGGCTTCAAGTGATTCTCCTGCCTTGGTCTCCTAAAGCTCTGGGATTATAGGTGGGAGATGCCACACTTAACCTAATACTTGTTTTTTTAAAATTTAACTTAATTTTAAAGATGTGGGGTATAGTTCAGGACTTAGGTATGTAAGCAGTCATGGTACAGGAAAAGTTTGGGCTTCCCTTTGGTCCCCATGTCACCTGGTTTGAGATCAGGTACCTGGCCGTTCCCAGCTGCTGCCAATTCCTTTCTTACAGTTTAATGGTAAACAGTCAGGGTCTGCCTATGAGTGAGAACGTGATACCTGTTTTAATAAAGCTTTTCTGGGCAGAAGCAGGGAACCTTGCTCTGCATTGACTTGGCAGTGGTATTTTCTTTCTTCTCCTTCCTCACTCTCCACAACAAACAGGTCTCCAAGGTGCTGTTGGGAGCTCATGCACTCCTGGCCAATGGGTCCGTGATGTCACGGGTAGGGACAGCACAGTTGGCTCTGGTGGCTCGAGCCCATAATGTGCCCGTGCTGGTCTGCTGTGAAACATACAAGTTCTGTGAGCGTGTACAGACTGATGCCTTTGTCTCTAACGAGCTAGGTAAGGAGAGAAGTTTCCAGGGACCTGTGAAGATCTGAGAGGGAGAAGGGAGGTTAAACTTTTCTGAAAGGACGTAAGGGGCACACCTTCGTTGCAGATGACCCTGACGACCTGCAGTGTGAGCGGGCAGAGCGTGTTGCCCTGGCTGACTGGCAGAACCACCCGTCCCTGCGGCTGCTGAATCTGGTCTATGATGTGACTCCCCCAGAGCTCGTCGACCTTGTGATCACGGAGCTGGGGATGATCCCCTGCAGTTCTGTGCCTGTTGTCCTGCGTGTCAAGAGCAGCGACCAGTGAGGGAACAGGGTCAATAAATGACATCCTTCCTCTCTCGGTAACACTGCTGCCTGTGTGTTTCTTTGCATCTCCACCACTTAAGTTCAGGGTCCTGTCCCACCAGCCCTCTTTCCACCTGCTGCTGCCCTCAGATCTCTGTGGAGACCCTCTCAGTTAGCCAGCTCCATGCCAGTGTGTCGTGGCTAAGGCGAAGATCAGTGTGGAGACCACAAACTATTCAAATCATCAATGGGTTATTGAGTGTCTAAAGACCAGACACCAAGCTGGATATGAAGAGGAATAGAAAGACAACTAAGAGTCCTAACCTTCGTAGTAAGTTAGCATTTGAAGTTACTTGCACAAGGTAACACAGCTAGTCAGCAGCAAAACCAGGATGGGACCTCAGGCAGTTGGATCCAGATGGTGCCCTTGACTTTTATACTGCACACCTTTCAGGAAGACAGACCACAGCTCCAGTTGAGATAAACTCTACTAGTAGCATGAAAAGAATTCCTCGGAGACAACCAAGGATGATGCCACAGGATCCAGCAAGATCGGAGAGGGCCTCACAGGTAACATCTGACCAGTCCCTGACCTAGTCTAGAAAGATAAGTTGGTTCCCAGTTGGAAAAAAAAAATGGGAAGGCAGATTGGCAGAGAAAAATAGCTTAACCCAGGCAGAGCAGGCTGTATGTTAAATGAGTGGCCAATTTCAGTGTCAAGTAGTGTGGTGAGGCCAGGACTGATGTTTAACGTTGAGTGATAAAGCCACGAAGTGGGTTAGGGCCAGATTGCGCGTCTAACCACTGGTTAGCTTACAGATGGGAGAGTCCTTTGTGTGTGTTGCCGACGTTCTTCAAGCGGCAAACAATCCCCATCACCAGGTGCAATTATTATCAAGATTTGATAAATGTATCTTTAGAAGCATGAACATTACCATAATGGCACCACTTACTGGGTATTCCTAGTAATATTATGTGATCAGTGATCAAATTTCCTTGTTTCAGAAATGTCTTTATTTACAGTTGGTTTGAATCAAAATCTACACAAACCCACATACTACATATGGGTATCTCTCCCCGCCTTTTCTCATTGACTTGTAGAAACTAGGTTGATTGTTGTATAACGTGTTCCATGTTCTAGATGTAACTGTTGGCTTGCTTTTTTTCTTTTTTGAGTTGGAGTATCACTGTCGCTCAGGCTGGAGTGCAGTGGCACGCTCATGGCCACCACAGCCTCCACCTGCTGGGCTCAGGCAATCCTTCCGCCTCAGCCTTCCAAGTAGCTGAACTACAGACAAAATGCCACTGCACCTGGCTACTTTTTGTGATTTATTGTAGAGATGAGGTCTCACCAAGTTGCCCCAGCTGGTCTCAAACCCCCAGGTTCAGGCAATCCTCTTGCCTTGGCCTCCCAAAGTGCTGGGATTACAGGCATGAGGCACCACACCCAGCCTGTTTGCTTTCTTAGGATGTCATGTAAGTTATTTGTTTGAGCCCTGTATTTATTTCTCTGTCACCCAGGCTGGAGTGCAGTGGGATAAATATGACTTATTGCAGCCTCAACCTCCTGGGCTGGGGCAGGCCTCCCACCTCAGCCCCCTGGGTAGCTGGAACTACAGGCACTTGCCACCATGCCCAGCTAGGTTTTGTTTTTTGAAAAGAAGTATTGCTGTTGCCCAGATTGGTCTCAAACTCCTGGGCTCAGTCCTCACATCAGCCTTCCAAAATACTGAGATTATAGGCATGAGCCACTGTGCCTAGCTTTTTATTTTTTGAGTTCAAAGTTTTACTCTGTCAGCCAGACTTGGAGTGCAGTGGCATGTTCATGACTATTGCAGCCTCAACCTGCTGGGCTCAGGTGATCCTTCCACCTCAGCCCTGCAAGTAGCTGGGACTATGGGCATGTGCCCCTGTACCTAGCTAATGTTTTGATTTATTGTAGAGATGAGGTCTTGCTGTGTTGCCCAGGTTGGTCTTGAGCCCCTGGACTTAGGCAATCCTTTCGCCTTGGTGTCCCAAAAGTGCTGGGGTTACAGGTGTGAGACACTGTGCCTAGCTTTTAAAATGTCATTTATGGACTCATGGATTTTTACATATTGGGTGTACCATTCAATCATCAAGATTTCTTTTTTTTTTTTGAGTTGGAGTTTCACTCTGTAGCCCAGGCTGGAGTGCAGTGGCATGCTCCCGGCCACCGCAGCCTCAACCAGCTGGGCTCCGGCAATCCTTCCTCCTCAGCCTTCCAAGTAGCTAGAATTACAGGTACACGTTACCATGCCTGGCTAATTTTTGATTTATTGTAGAAATGAGGTCTCGCTAAGTTGCCCAGGTGGGTCATGACAATCATCAAAATTAAGCAGAGGACCAACAGGGTCAGCTTCATGCCTTACAATGATAACTAGCAGAGATTAGAGGCAGAGAAATAGACCACTTAAAAATATTTATCAATCAGCTGGGCTCAGTGGCTCAGCCTGTAATCCCAGTACTTTGGGAGGCTGAGGTAAGTGGATTGCCTGAACCCACGGGTTTGAGACCCGCCCAGGCAACTTGGCAAGACCTCATCTCTACAATAAATCAAAAAATTAGCCAGGCATGGTAGTGTACACCTGTAGTTCCGGCTACTTGGAAGGCTGAGGCGGAAAGATTGCGGGAGCCCAGCGGGTTGAGGCTGCGGTGGCCGGGAGCGTGCCACTGCACTCCAGTCTGGGCGACGGAGTGAGACTCCAACTCAAAAAAAAAAATTTATCAATCAAAATAAAAAATGCACCTAAGATTGGCAGCAATTCCACTTCCAGGAATATCCTACCCATATAATTACATGTTTTAAGCAGCTTAGATACTGAGGTTGTTTATAGCAACATCGGTTATAATGGCAGAAGATTGGAAACCACCTAGATATCCATCAATTCTGCACCCATAGTTAAATACTATGTACATGCACAGAATGTAGGCCTTTATGTACAGAAACGGAACAACCTCCCAGGTACTCTCAGTTGATGCTAAGGTAACAAATGGACAGTGTGGGCTGTTGCTGTTTGAATTAAAAAGGGGCAAAGATAGTGTACAGCCAGCCCTCCATGTCTGTGGTCTCTGCATACATGGACCTAACCAAACGGAGATACTCAAAAAATTTTCATGAACTGAACACGGAACACAAACAGATATTTTCCTTGTCGTCAGTTCCTAAACAATAGGTAGGTACACAGCATTTACGTTGTATTAGGTATTACAAACAATCTAGAAATGAGAATGTGTGTAGGTTCTATGTACCCATAAGCATCCTAGAACCAACCTCCCAGGGATACTCAGGGACATCTGAACACAAGAAACTGATTAATTGCCTGGGTGGCTGGAGACAGGTGGAAGGGAGTCTTTACACCACATGTGTGTCTTACACCAAAAATTTCTAAAAGATTGTGCAAGTTTGTCTAAGATAGCCTCATATGAGGCAGCAGGAACGAAGTGAATATTTGAAACTGAAAGCTATCCACCACACAAGCATTTTTAGAAAGTGAGGGGACACTCAATCCCACGCCCATCCCACCCCCTTAGTGGCCAACAGACAGCAAGCACACCCTTAGCTTGGCTTTTGGCCACTGAGGGGGTGGAATTAAAGTGGAACAGGGTGTCCTCGTCCTCCCCTTTCTAGACCGTAGCTACCTCCTCCGACATCTGTGTCTTTTTTTTTTTTTTGAGTTGGAGTCTCACTCTGTCGCCCAGACCAGAGTTCAGTGGCCGCTCCCGGCCACCGCAGCCTCGACCTACTGGGCTCCGGCGATCCTTCCGCCTCAGCCTTCC